AAAAAAAAAAAAAAATCTTAAAATTGGGAAAATTATACTAACTATCATCTAGTTGGGAAAATACATGTTAATTTTGCAGTGGTACTTTTTGGTATTTAGAAGTCTGGGAAACTCTAAATATAAAATAAAACTATAGAGAAATGCAAACATACTGGTAGCTGGAATTAAAATTAAGAATTCAGACATATAAGAAACTGACCCTTGAGTGGTTGGGAAAATGCTGTTTAAGAGAAAGCACCTCTTTGCTTTGCTAAACTAAAAATAAACCCAAATGGTAAGGAGAAAGAGAAGCTGTAGTTACAGAACTTTATTAAATTCAGAACTTTATTAATTTCAGAATAATTTCTAATACTCATGAAGCATATAAAGAATTTTTCACATGCATTTAGTCCTCAGGATAACCTACTTTACAGTTACTGCCATTCCAATATTACAGATGTAAAAGTAATACTGGGCAGAGAGAACCTGCCCAACACCTAACACGCAGGGACTGAAGACTTCATCCCCAGACTTCTGGAACCAAGAATTGATAATCTCACATGAAAAAACAAAGTTTAACCTGAAGGTAAAGAACAACCTCACACCCTCATGGCCTCAGAGTATCCCAGAGTTACTCATTCACTAAACAAACGTATTTAAAGCACTTATTAGCTACGTAGTACAGTTGCCAGTCGTCCTATTAGTCAGCTTTTTTGTTGCTGGGACAAAATATCTCACACTTGCAACTTAAAGCAGTTTATCTGGATCAAGGCTGTAGAGGGCTGAGTCCCCGGACAGCTACCGCCAAGGCAGGAACGGCAAAGTGGAAGGGTCTATGCAGGAAAGCTGTCCAACTCATGGCGGCCCGGAAGCAGCGAGGAGGGGCCGGGACAAGAGCAGCTCCCAGTTCTGTCTGCAGCGACCTGCCTCCTCTGCCCGAGCCCGTCCCCGAAGAGCGCACTTACCCAGGGACGCGCCAGTGCTCGCTCCACGGACGAGTGACGCGTCCGCGTGATTTAATCTGGCAAAAGCACCACCTTGAACACTGAGACTTCAGGGGGGCACTGCAGACCTAAACTGTAAGACGTGAAAACGTATCTGTGCCAGACTGTTCCAAGACCGAAAGTGGTCTGAGAGACATAACCAAAGGCACGGAGTGCTGCTTCAAAAGCCTGTCAAATGTGCGGGCTGCTCGGTTCCCTCCACACGCCTCAGTGAAGGGGACTCAGTCAGTATCTACTGACGCTGCTGAGTCCCACCTCTGAGGGTTCTAAACTTGGAGCACTTTTCCTGTTTCTGAGCTGATTTTACAGAGCAATGAAAAGCTAATTCATAAATTTTATTCGACTCTAAGGCAAGAGAAAACCATTACCTGATCTTACTTTGATTTAAGCAGACCGTTTCGGGTTTAACACGCAGAGGAGAAAGGAGGAAGAGAAGCCGGAAGCAGGGAACACTCACCACACCTAGTTATAACGTAAGAAAAAACAGACGCAGGCCAGAATACTAGGCGACAGTTCACAGGTAAAGGCCAACTGTAGTCCTGCTGTCCCTATGTAATCACTTACCACACCACTTGGTAAAACGTAACCCTAAACCTGGAATAATTTCATAATAAACTTGGAGTAAGAGAGGGAGGCTAAAATGCAACGACAGCAGTCGGAGTGAAAAGAATGAAGCGGACGCCGAGTATAGAAAGCAGAAGCCATGTTCTCAGTGAAAAGAGAAATAGGAAAGACCAAAATAAAATCAATGACAGCACCTAAGGGGGTATCACGTTTGGTTAAAAACTCATTTATTTCTTCAATATTTAGTTATTAGGCACGATCATATAGACTAGTGAGCAAGAGAATACTGTATCAGGTCCTATACGGCTAATACGGAAAGCAAAAAGAAAATAAGCAATTCTGAGTAGTACGCAGTTAAGCTAGGTTTACACTATGGGAGAATTGAAAGAGAAAATCATTATTACAAAAATGAGGACTTTTAGTGCTGAGAATGTGGCTGAGGTGTGGAGCACTTGCCTGACATGTATGATCCTGGATTTGATACCCACCACTGCCAGATAAATAAATAAAGTTTCAAAAGTAAAATAAAGACAGAGCCAGGGATATAGCTCAGTGGCACAGTGCCTGCCTGGCAAGCACAAGGTCCTGAGTTCAAATACTGGTACCCCCCTAAAAAAAAATGTGGGTTTTTTTAATACAAAGGAGTAGTACTCTGCCATCAAGAAGGACAAACTCGAGCCATTTCAAGATAAATGGATGCACCTTGAGACCATACTCAAGTGAAATAAATCAGACACACATGTATAAATACTGCCTTGTTTCTCTGGTGTGAGAAACAAAGTATAAATGAGGACCAAAATGTCTAATATGCATTGTTAAACAGGAAGAAAATGTTCAAATGGGGTGGGGAATGAAAGAGAGGAGGGGGGAAAGGAAAAAAAAAGGAAGCCAGAGTTCACACGCTATGAATGTGGACAACTTAAAAAACAGGTAAATTAATGAGATTAAGACCTTCAAAGAACAGTACACTAGTAATATGGAGATTAGGAACTCCCTGCTAGGTATGAGAATGAACTGGTTAAGAGTAGAATCTAAATTTTCAAGAATCTCAGTAAAAAGGAGAAAAAACACTAACAGGGAGAGGCTCAATGACATCATTTTTGTGTTTTACTCTTTTGAACACACATGCTACAGAGGCTGACAGAGGTCAGGGAATCAGATTAACGGGTTGTAATCACTTTGAGAATTCCTGCTGACCATTTTCTTCTATACCACAATAAACCTGGTCAAACACTATGTACCTTTTGTAAATACTGGCATTGATAAAAAAAAAAAACAAAAAAAACCTTGTGTTTAATACTCTCCTCTAAAACTAATCTTATAATACTACTATCAGTTCCTATTTAGCATCACAAGAATACTATTTCTGCAACATTACAGTTTAATGAAGTGGCTGGCCTACATCAAACATAATCACATTTTAATATTGTTCCTATGAAAAATGCTTCAAAAAAGACAATTTAGAACTGAAATTGTTAGAATTCACATTCAAACTGAGGCCACTCAAGAGTTTCAGCATTTACATGAGATTACCAAGCAGTGAGATTACTGAATTATTCTTCCAATTTTAAGTTAAATATGCTTCTGTTAATCCTTCCACATGCTTCACTTGAAATTGTTTAATGGACAACCTGCAATTACTTTAAGTTACCAAAGAGCCTGCTATGAAAAACGCAAGGGTCTGAGGAGGGAGTGAGGTCTAAGGGCCTGTCCCTCTCACAAGCTTCCCTCCTCTCAGCATGGGTGTGGTCAGGTCCTAAAAGGTGAACATGGCCTCAACAGTTTCAGTCTTCTAAGGGGTACAGGTCTCTGGGGCAGGTGTTCATAATGCACAAACACACAACTGAGGATCACAGGTTATAAATTCCAAATCTGGAAAAGCCTCAAAAAGTGATCTTAGAACCTGAAACCCAAAATGGAGTATAGCTGTGTAGTGGCTTCCACCTTTAATCCCAGCATTCAAGGAAGCTGAGGCACAAACTCCAGGCCAGCCTGAACCACACAGGGAGACCCACTCTCAAAACAAAAACAACAAAATAAACAAAAAATGGGTGCTATGACTAACCCACAGTCACAAATTCTAAAAACAAAATAAATTTAAAAATTTAGTGTGAGTTCTGTGACAACACAACCAGAACTATATTATGTTTGCCATTTCAAATGTGTTGTTTTGTTGGAAAATTTTTCAGTTCAGAAGAGGCTTTTAATCTGAACTTTTAGTATCCACAGAATAAAAGAAAAAGAACCAGAACTGTAAAAGGTAAGAACTTAAAAGGCATACTTTTAAACAAATTTTTCTTGAAAAATATCCTTTTTGATACAGCAATACCAATACATACAGTACAAGCAATTTTTCCACTTATACTTCTCACTTCTATGACTATTCAAAATAGCCCTGCAAATTTCTAAAGCAAGATGAAACAGCTTTAAAGATCTTCCTGAATTTAAGACAATTATCACTGTTTCAAATGAGGATGCAAAAAAAACAAAAAATCTTGGCCACTACACGGCCAAACTATTAATCAGTTATGTTTCTGCCTACTTAACCAACTCAGCCTGCTCACTTAAAGTTACACCCAGTCTATCTCAAGGCTCAGAATCCGCATTTCCTGAAACAGTCTCCCTCTACTCCATCTGGGCCATAAGATAACTCTAGAGCCAAAGCTATTTATTTCCAACTAAAAAAAAGTGGACACAGAGAAATCCTTGTTACTAGTTCATGCACTT